ATTTTTAAAGCACCCAAAAGCATGCTGAGTGTTTTATGAGGCAAACAGAGAGACATGGTTTGGCTCCTGACTCCAAAGAGCTAGTAAGCTAAGTCACAAATCCCAAAATCTAGGCTATGTAGATGATCTCTAATGCAGAGCCATTAGCCGAGGGCCGGTACCTACATTTACAAGGAGTCCTCACCTAAAACAACAAACGAAGCCCTAGGTAAGGGCTAGACTGTGAGTCCCTTATTCACATTGTGTAGGCCTTTACTGTTCAAGTCATCAGATTGAAATGAAAGGGTCTGGGTAGGAACCCTTTTACTCATCATCAGTAAAAGTATCAGCATCTAGACTACATTGGAACAAGAGTGTGATTTTAAATCATTAGAGCTGCACAGATGTAAATCCCCCTGCAGACACTTATCTCACAGGGCCTTCGGCTGGCTTAGTTTATAGGCATTTGGAAGCAGTTTAAAGGCCATGTTGGAGCGGCGTCGACCTAAGGTATGCAACTCCAGCTACGTGAATACTGTAGCTGGAGTCAGTGTACCTTAGATCGAGTTAGCCCAGAGTCTCAACTGTGGGATGTGTAAGGGAGAAACTTCTCGTTGCAGTGAAGTACAGAACTGACGAGAAAACAATCAGTGGTCAATTCATCGGGTCTTTATTAGGACCGCTAAATCAACCGCCAGGGATCAATTGCCGCAGCGCCGATCTCCCAGTAAGTATAGACATTCCCTGAAGGACGCTGCAAAACAAGGTGAACCGGTTATCTGGTAAGCAGGTGGCTTAGTGGCCTGCTTACCAGGAAACCAGTTAACCAGCCTGACTAGCTGGACCCTGCTCACGGCAGCCCCCTCCCTGCCCTCCTCATCCCCCCACATGAGGCCTGGAGCAGCCACCATTGGCTGCAGTGGGGCTGCGGGCAGAGCAGCCCCTCCCCTAACTGTGACCCATGGTGCTGCAGGTGGGGGGGCTGCTCCAGGGTTAACTGGTTAAACATTTTAAATGTTAATTAAGATCCCTACTATAGAAAGTCCCTCATATTGGAATGAGGGCTGGTCGGCACTTCAGACTTAAGTCAGCTTAATTACCTCTCTTGGGGCTGGGGAAAATGTCATGCCCTGTGACATAGTTAAGTTGGCCTAAGCTCCAGTGTGGACACCATTGAGTTGGCAGAAGAATTCTTTCATTAATCTAGCTGCCACCTGGCGTATAAAAGGATCGTGCAACCAAAGGATGCCTTCTGTGGCTGCAGAAAGTGTCTATAATTGAGCTACACTGGTCTCAACGTAGCTATGCCAGTATCACTGGAAAACTCTCCTATGTAGGCAAACCCTAAGGCTATGTCTACACTGCAACTCCCGGGAGAGGCATAAAGATCTTGCGCAAAAGGGTTTGGTTTTTTTGCACAAAACAGAGGCAGCTACGCTGCTTCTTTTTGCGCAAAAACCCCTTGTGTAAAAAGAATCTGCAGAAAATATGCTAATGACATTGCGACTCATGCTAATGAGTCCCTCATTAGCATATTTTCTGCTGCAAAAAGCTGCAGTGCAGACATCGTCTAAGAGAACTGAAAACCAGCCTCCTGAAGAGCCAAGAAGGCAGAACAGGGCAGTGTCCCAGCCTTTGGGGAAATGAGGACAGGAGTAGCTACACAGCTCCCAAACAGGGTGTCAAGCACATCCGGAGATGATTTAAAGTCTCTTATAAAGCAGAAATCAACAGGCCCAGTTCTTGCTGGTGCATGGAGTCAGGGAAAGCCCTGCCGCAGGGGTCAGCTGGCCAGCACGTTAATGCACGGGTGCCTCTGCTGTGTACTTCCCTAGCGGGGCTGCTATGACATGGTGGTGGCCTATTGAGCACCAATACTGGTGAGCATCAGGAGAGTTTTCAGGATGGTGCTGAAATGAGACGGCAAACTCCAGCCCCCTCTGCCTGGCTGAACAGCTGAGCGTAGCAACCCGACCACTCAGCAGCCACTATCATAGCTGCCGGGCTGCAGCACAGAGGCACCACCCTTGAGACTGCCCTGACCCACCCAGGCAAGGCAATGGCTGGTGGAGCCAGATAGCTGGTAGAGCCAGATAGTTAACTCACACCGTGCCCGATACCTCGCCACGGCCCATGGCTCAGCAGAGTGAGCTCCTGTAGAGTTGAGCTCTGCCAAGCCCAGGGAGCACAGGCCTCCTGTGCTGGAGCTTAAGCCTCTGCAGGTAGGGTGATGGGACAGGCAAAAACCTCGGCCCCCGGAAGCGGAAGACGGCCTTTGTTCCCGCATTGTTAGGAGCCAGTTAAATTCAGATTGGGTTTCAGATGGAGGCTGGACTCTGGATGTTAAATACTGGTTAACTGACTAGTCGAGTAATCTCGTGAATTCTTATTGGTTAGTCAACTATTCTATAGTCCCCGGGGGTGGGGCTGGCAGCCAGTGTACTCCAGCACCACTCCTGAGGAGCCCCCTGCCACTCCGCACTGCTGCCTCTGTATCAGCGGCAGCAGCGCAGGCTGTCAGGCAGGAGCTGGTCCATGAGGGGAGCCCATTTAAAAACCAGCTCCCATCGTGAACCAGCTGCCTGTTTTCCTGTGCAGCTTCCTCTAATAAAGAGGCAGCAGCATGGGGTGGCAGCAGCCCCTGTCGGGGGAGGAGGAGTATGAGCTCCCAGACCCGGTGCAAGCCGAAACTGAGCCGGGCTGCCTGGCTCCTAATACGCTTTAAATGCAGAGCCCTGCTTTAACCTCTTGTGGCTAGAGTGGGGCAGTTGCCCTACTACAGCTGGATTCTTGTTTTGAAAATCCTAACACTGCAAATAGGTGCCTAGAATGAGAAAGCGCCCAGGCACTGAATTCCCGCTGAAAATAAGGTGCTGGGGAAAATCACACTGCGTGTCTGTCTGCATCGCTGAGCACCAACATAGCTTTAAAAAGCTGGCCCTAAATGCCTTGCCCAAGATCATATACAAAGCTATGGTGCAGCAGGAACGAACCCATGTTCCAGACTCCCAGGCTATTGCCTTAACGACTGCCTTATGCGTCCTCTCATCTGTTGCCTTTCAGAACAGTGCATCACAGAGCACATTCCACGTTTGACAATATAGTGTGGAATCAACCAAACAGAAAATTAGTAGTATCCTTTCAGAATTATGGGATGCAACAATGGGCTTCATAAGGCTAATAGCTGCCTGAGCTAGTATTATAGAACATAAATCATGTGCTGCATTATTTTCCAATGCAATTATAGAATAAGATAAATAAATCAAGATGCCTAGGCAGGCTTTTCAAGTGAAATTTGAAGAGGGGTTGAAGAGATGCAGGGAGGATGTTTGAAATGATAAGCTGAAGGGGAAAGGGGGTCTCACCAACAGTAATGAGGTTGTGAAGCAAGGACCACAGAGAACAAATTCTACATGTGTATGGAGAGCTGAGATGCAGAGAGAGATAAGGGATCTTCACTGCTCAAGAGCACACCTGCGGCATGTGTACTCAAATATAGCCCCTGACTTTCAAGGCAGACGCTCTATTCCCTTTCTATCCCATCTCAATTAGGAGCAGGCAAACTGCACAGCATTAAAATGAATGACCCCCATGTCACACAACAGCAACAAAGGTGATTTATAAGGGATATACAACCTGCTTTTGAGGGCACTGGGGGGGAAGCCATCTCGGCTTGCAAATTGTATTTTGTGCTTTGTGACGGTCCATTTACTATCAGCTTGAGTGCAGCGAACGACCGGTGTAAATTACTGACATGACCTTTCCTGTTTGATGACATGACAGCCAGCATGTCAGTTACCCCGAGCTCAAATAACATTTCATTTATGTCATCCATCATCAACATCCTGCGAAGATGCCGACTGCTTTTCGTATTCTTGCTACTGAATCAGACGCTGTAGCAGAGTTGCTGGGTGGAAGATGGATATGGACTTAAAGGCTTAGAGTATGTTACCATTTCTCTCCCCTCCTTTTTTCCCCTCTCCCTCCTCCCCCTATTTATTCTTGGATCTGATCTTCTAATACTCCAGTCATCTGAAGAAGTGGGTTGTGCCCACAAAAGCTCATGACACCATCTACTTGTTTTGTTAGTCTTTAAGGTGCTACTGGGCTATTTGTGGTTTTTTAAGTTTTTACCATTTTAAATTAGTCCACAATGTGCCATACTGGACAAATAGAAATGGTCTCACACAATGAACACATTAGTAACAGTATCTCATTTTTATTTTTCTTCAGGATGCATATTTTTGCCCCATCCTGTGTCTAACTAGTAACCTAGGGATCATCAGATGGAGCATGCAGCTTTCCTGATCTTTGGATCAGCCCCCTCTACAAACTCTAGGCCACTGCCCAAAACTCCTGGCCAGCCCGGGGAGCACCAGTAGGAGGACTGCATAACACACCTCCAGGCCGGACCCAGGCAATGTCAGGTAAATCTGCTAATAATCAATGATAGTTAAATATCTCCAGTATCCAATCACTAATAGCTGAATAAATTAGAAGATGCAAAACCTAAATCCCACAGTAGCAAAGCTGTGTGATAACAAACCATGGGAAAGAGGAGTACATCCTGCCCTCAGGAATGAAGATTGGTAATGGGAGTGGTAAGATTGCTTTCACAATAAGTCATTTGCCTTAACAATATCCTGCAGCAGGAAGTTCCACCAGTTAATTATGCATTGGTTCTTTAATTCTTCTCACTCTTAAGTATGCTTTTATTCCCCTTTTCCTATGTGGCAGAGTGTCATGCCTCTGCTCCCTGCCCCCATCAAACAAAGCAAAAACAAAATAAAACTCTATTCAATCTCAACTTTCAAAGCTGGAGAACATATGGTTTTGAGAGCTAGAAGGAGGAATGCAACTCCTTACATGGTTTCACTCCCTTGTTACAGGAAGAGGCTGACACTTTGTCATCTTTAAGAGCTGTTCGCAGCAGCCAGGAATTGGCAGCATTATGCTGGCAAGCATCTTGTGCCGAGGCTGCTAATCAAGAAAAGAACTGTCCTTGCAGCCTAAGCAAATGAAGGTGCATATAAGGGAAAATTCATCTGAATCTTTGTTTGAGGGGAAAAGAGGAAAACTTGGTTTGTCATAGTGCCAGTGACTCCTTCCTTCCTGCGGTTCTGCATTATCAGTGAAAGACTCCCAATTCAGTTACCCAATCCTCTCTCTGCTAGCATCTCACTCCTTATAAGTTCAGACTGAAAGGATTCCTTGCAGCACAGAGGTCTGCTGCTGGCAGCAACTGTGAATAGCAAGCAGAGAATCTCTGCACGTTTATTACCACTGTACAAACAGCGGTCAGAGACAGTGATGGTACTGGTGAAAAATGTTTGCTGGATATCAAGTTCAGCCAATCCAATGAACATGCATTCATGCTATTATAACAGCATGCTCACCCGAGGGAAAAAAGCATTCCTGGGCATCTTTACTCATGGCTATCCTCTTTCCTCAGAAGTGTTTTTAAAGCCCTATTTATTAATATGACAACAGATAAAAATAACTTAGCATCCATTCATTTTCTGTGACCAAGAAGTTTGCATGATTCACCTACGGCTTTTATAACTATGGCTAGAACTAATTTATTTACTGAAGCCTAACGCCAAAATAATTATGGGCAAAAGTCTCCTCTTGGATCCACAGAGAGCTTTCATTCAGATATTCTGCTCCCCTTCCAGTAGGAAGTGTACATATGTACGAAACAAGAGCACCCACATTGTAATGGGAGACCGCTGGCCTGTACCTAGATGGTAGGAACTGAGCAATAACAAAAGAATGAATTTCATCCCTACAGAATGTTCCAACTCAAAAATTCTGCTTGGTGGTTTGCAGAAGGCATACAGCCCACTGGGGTGGCACTGGAAGCAAGGGGTATATTGTCCATCCATGTATGGGCGCCTCTGGAAACCCATAGGTCCCTTGTAACTGGAGACACACAAGCTTGTCTACTGTAGGAAAAGTCTGCAACTATTTTCTACCGTATCTCGCATGGGTTCAGCTACAGGAGCATTAGCAATATTGGGAACTCAATATATTCAGCACCTTGGTGTTGTAAGCACCATGTCATCTAACTTCCACTTAAGTGCAGCTTTAATTGGCATAGTCTTTATAATGCCAGCAGTCCCAGTATACTAGGACTCTCAATATCGCTAGCACCAGTGCAGCTGAATCCTTTAGTTCAGGGTTAGACACATGTGCCAGAAATATCAACGCAAGAAGTGACTAGGGATTTTAGGTGCCTGTTTTGTGACACTGGACAGGAGCCTGGTCTTTAGAGAGTGACTAGAACCCACTCTGAAAATTCAGCTCCTTTTAAGATATCTCAAGTTGGGCATAAAAATAAAGGGTGGCGTCAAAATTACCAGTTACATTGAAATTCTCAGTCCATATAGACAAATAGGCTACCTTGCTTTAAAAAAAACAAAAAACAAAACAAACAAACCTCAACCTACATGCTCAAAAAAAAATACATTAAATACTAGGGACTCAAGACAGAACTGTACTAAGCAGCAACCCACTTGCCAAATTGTTTGCAGTTGCATTTTAAATCACTTTGTACTAAAATGGTCCCATTATATGTAACAGCAATGCCTGCTTATTATGCAAAAAGTAAAAAGCCGAACCTACCGAACCCAAAGAAATATTGCTACACAGAAAAGTAAATATTTTCAACTTCTGCCTATATGAGTGATTTATGGCTCTCCTTAAAAATGTGTCATTTTTCTCTGTAATAATCCAAGCTTAATATAAGTGAAGTCCCTACTATTGTTTAAATGTAGTTTTAGTATTTAATTCCTTGCTTCCTTTGGGTATGTTTTCACTGCATGCTTATTTTGATATAGCTTATTTTGAAATGTCCAAAATAGTTATTCCGAAATAGCTTATTTTGAAATAGCACGTCTACACTGCAGGGAAGCCTCAAAATCAGTCCGAGGCCGGCTTCCCTAACGTAGACATGCTATCTTGATTTAGAACCCTAGGAGGCACTAGGGAGGAATAACTTAGAATGGCCCTGGTGAGGGGCTATTTCAAAATAGCATCAGTGGAGCATCTACACACGCCTTATTTCAAAATAGTTATTTCAGAATAGGAGTTATTCCTCAGAGAATGAGGTTTACAGATTTCGGAATAAGCCATCCGTTATTTCAAAATTATTTTGAAACAATGGAATGGCTGTGTAGATGCTCACATTATTTCAAAATAACGCTAGTTATCTTGAAATAACAGTGCAGTGTAGATGCACCCTTAAACTGCAGCATTAAACAAAACTGCCTGCTAGCGCATAGTTCTGCACACTGTAATTGCTCTGAATTGCAGACTTTGTCTAATACTGTATCAACACACAGTATGACAAAGTGAAATATCTTAAAGGACAGGATGTATGACAATATGACAAACTCACATTTTTAAATCACTCTGTATTAACAAGGTCCCACTACATGAAACAGCAATACCAGCTTACTATGCAGATAATAATAAAATACATGATCTTGGCACACAAGTGGAGCAAGAACTAGTGAATGCTAGTTTTTCCACAGTGAAAGTACACTGTGAAATAGTTCTGAAAAAAATTCTAAAATATACTGAAGTTTCATAGGGTATTTATTTTACAACAGGCTAGGATTGTAAACAATCTTCTCTTAATTAAAAAAAATGTCATTCAATGGAGTTAAATAGTGAAAGAAAATCCACTTGCTCCTGCCTGTTGTAGTTGTCTCCTAATGGAAGGCTACTCTTAAATCAGTCATTAAAGAACTAAGGTATTTTTCTGCTTTAGTTCAGTTGGTTAAATTGGTCAATAATTGGCAGTGACTGATTTCATGCAAATTTAAGTGCTTCTTTATTAAATGTATTGGATTTAATCCTGTATGCTGTAGCTACATAGGTCTTTTTATTGCAGTGTGACTTCAACTTCAAACTATTCCAGCATCTCAATGGGGCAGCCTAAGGTACACAAATGAGGGTTACTATTTAAAGCAAATCTTTCCTAAGTAGCTATTGCTGGATTTTTCCTTCCAGCCTACGGATTAAAGAGATTCTGGCTCAACAACAACAAAAACCTCCAATGTATTAAATAAGAAAGTGACGACTCAAGAATGCGATGGCAAAACTTGGAGATGGTCATACGCAGCGCTGCAAATGAGAAGAACATTTGTCTGATCATTCATGTTTGGCAGGAGCATACTAAAATTTCAGCTGTCCACAGGAGAGGAGATGAAATATACAAGCGAAGGTGAAAACTTCTGAGTCTTGAAAAAAGATGTTTAGTTTCAGACTCAGACAACTGATATTTTCATTTCTTTCCCTCCCAATTACATTACAGTTTATGTATATTTTTGTGGTGTTGGTTGGTTGGGTTTTTAGTATAATCATAGCTTGCTTCTCTTCTTACTTAATCCTCTGATTCCCTTCCTCCATGCACAAAACATTCCATATTTTATAACACGGTAAATGTTTCTTGCAAATACTGACATTTTTCAATTGCTCTCTAGTAAAGTGCCACAGAGGGTAGTAGTGGACAGTGCAAGTGAGGTTATGCCAACAGAAAAAAATTAAAGGCACCCCAAAAAAAGTCAAGTATTTATTTTAGTAATTTGCACAGACTGTTGCTAAAGAAAAGTATGTATTTATTTTTTTTAAAATGAATTGAAGTACAATTTTAGGAAATATTTGTTCATTACATTTACATACATAGTTTAAAACTGGCTTTCTCAAAAGTGTTCCTTCACAATGAGAAAATGTTAAGTTCACATGCACCTTACTGTTTTCTACATTTTCCACCATATTACACCTCATATCAATATTTACAATAAAAAGACTATCCCGTAAATTCTTATATTGACATTTAATATGAACAGTTGCAATGTGTAAGAAACCCTGATTAGTAATTTGATTGCACTGAGACAAATGTAGGCTCATAATACAATAAGGCACAGTACTATGAATAGGGAACATAGATTGTTCTTTCAGCAGCCTAGACGTCAATCAGTTAATTTCTAAGGGTGTTATTGGGTGTAAAGTTAATGCACCAAGTTTAAATGCAGCTAGAACAATGTTCTCCTATACAAGACTGTTTTGAGGAGCCAAATGTTTTGTATGTTATGGTGGGAGTTATAATTAAAAAGCTATATTTAATAGGATATCGGTGGAGTTTTATATCAGACTAGATGGGCCTTTTAAGGGACGTATGCTGTATATACACATATGTATACATAAATTTAATCTCTCTGACACCTTACTAAAAACAGCAGCATGATAAACTCATTAAAAAGAGCTGGGACATACATTGCTATCATAACTCAGAGCCCAATTTTCAAAACTGCAGCGTACTCAAAATTCCTATTACAGTTTGAGAGCTGTACGTGACCAGCAGCTCGGTCAGGGCAAGTGGGGGAAATCAGACCCACAGATTCGTCTATTAAAAAAAGTCTTGGGTACATAGCATCTGTCTTTAATCTCATTACATAGTGAATTAAAGTACTGCAAATCTTTCCATATTATTTTGGTTCTTTGCTTCTACTACAGCATAAAAGACTTTGTCAGTCAGGGATTGGCATCTATCGTTTTCAACACAGAGCTTTGGGTGCAGAATCAGCTTGTTGCTTGTATGGCCGGGATTAGTAAAACACTGCTGAGATCATCATGTATGTGCTTCAGAACCAAAATAGCCATTGCTATTAAAAACAGGGTGGTAGTAGTTGTGGTTTGTAGTGGGTGTCTTTTTAATCGACCTAGGGTTTATGCAGAGGTAGTTTTTATAACACTACTGTAATGAAGTCTCAGTAGTGTCAGAATACCATTAAAAAGGTACCAGAATTTTTTTTATCATATCCAAATCCAATCACAGTTAAAGTGAACTACATCAGATTTAGATTAACGGACCACAAGTCCACAAAAAACACTCAGAATTCAAACACATTTTAAAAATTCCTTCCAATGAGTTTAGATTCTTAAACTGTCACTAGATCAGAAGTTTTACTCAAACTATGTAAGAAGAAAAATAAAAATTCATACAGTAACTGCAGCATGTGGAAGTTGACTAAAATCTGACAACTGTATTGTATAAAAGTATAAAAGTGAAAATAACACTTTTTCAATCATTAGTATTTGTAAAAGCAAACTTATTAGGGAACATAACATAACCTTGAGTACTAAATATAGGTTTTGTTTAAATGTTTGTGTTTTATTTTAATCTGTAATGGAAGAATTATACCACAGTATCCAGCTGATTATTAAAATGGAACCACATTTTTCCTTGCATTTTAGTCATATTATGTTTACCCACAGTGTAAAAGTAAACAGCTATGTGTTACGTGCGATGCTTATGTCTTATGATTAAATTAAATTAAAACTAAATTGCTACAATCCACACTTCTTAAAAAGAGGAATAAAAACAACACAACAAACAGCACATTATTTACAATATAGAGTCTACATTATGTGTCAAAGTGAAGTTTGGACTAATCCATTAAAAATTCTCAGACATTTGATATTATGATTTTACTGCAAACGTCAATAAATTACATCATTTTTGTGCTAGAGGCTCAGGTGAACATGATTTAAATTACAGTAAAACCTTGCTAATGCCTGGGAGACCCACTCAGGTCTTGCTGATTTGCAAAAGAGAGGACACTGCACCACTACCAACAAAAACCTACTGTTTTCATTTACTGTGACAAGCTTTCTTAAGTTAAGCACAGTTTTTAAACATACTAGTAAATATATTGGTATTACACTTATAAGGCAGTGAGCTTAGACTTTATTAAAGCACTCTGCTTTGCAAGAAGTAGAGAAGTGAGACTTAGCAAGGTTCTACTGTACCTCAGACAAGGCAGTCATTGCAGACACCACTGTCTCTTAGAAGTGATGATGTTGGACAGTTTAATGTGTCTGAGTTCTACATCTCAATCCTTTTAAGCATGGCATGTGTGCAATTTATTGGGTGTTCAGCATACAGTGCTTACAGCACTGACTCTCTTGATCTCCTTTATTTATATGAAATTGAACAGCAGATTTATTACCCCATTTAGAATGCATCTCTTAATTATGGACTACTGAGCCAAATTTTGTCCTAAATTATATAATCCAGGAAACCCTATTGATACCAGTGGGGTTGAATAAGTGTAAGTGAGGATAACATTTGCCTTTTGACTTCCTTTTTGGAATACAGATGATGTATACTTCAATAGAGTTGAAACCCTCTAGATGATGTTTTTCCTTATCTATCCTGATCCAGATAAGCATGTTCCCAATTTTAAACATGTGAGTAGTCCTGGTTAAATGGACTATTCATGTTCTGATTAGGTACACTTTGCTTAACTGGGGTCAAGGTGAACAAATGTTTCAGGTAAAAGTAGTGGTGTGTTTTCTATTATTGTTATATTTTCTGCTTTACAACACATCTCAAATGACAACACTCTATACAAGAAGTATTACATTAGAGGCCATCTAAACTGGTAAATATGGTATTCTTATTTACCAGGAGACGTGACACTAAAATAATTCTGTTTTATGCAGCATTTTAAAAGATCAGCCTCTGGCATCCACAACAGTGTTCATTGCTCTCTAGAGCACAAACATTTTTTTTCTCTTGTGTTTGTACAGAAACTCGTACAATGGGGCTCTAATCCTTAAAGGGAATTTATAGGATCTATAATAATATAAATAGTCATGATGGCATTTCCCTTCATATATGTAACATGGTTCTCTTTTTAATTTGTTTGGGATATTCTTCTATGGCTCCTATGGTGTTTTCTCCAAAGATTCCATTCACATAATGCAAATAATTAAGATTATACTAAAGGTAGACAAAAAAATACTCTTGCTTCTGAAGATGCTCTATATGTATTCAAGTCAGCTAAAACATAAGCATCTTAGAGCACTTGTAAAAGTGTGCTTCCTTGACTTTCCATTAAAATAAAAACAATTCTTTAACCAGCCAATTGAGGAAGATTGTTCATGAATTGCCATAAAGTATAATATAACCATGTAAGGCTCAGGTGTAGTGGTATCTGAGACATTTACTAATGTATGGATAAATGCTAAGCTGTATTACTTTCAGTTAATGCAATTATTAAGGTTATTGATTTAAGTGATGTGTAGAAAAATGACAACAAAATTTAAAAGGTATATACTGTAGAACCCTTAATATAGCCAACTTCCTGGAGGAATTTCAAAATCAGAATAAATATATATTCAACATGTGCTGTTTTCTTGAATTTTACAATAGTATTTACCAGTTTGAGAGCATTTCTCACCCCCATTGAGCCTGATCCAAAATTCATTTTGCCTAATCTTGGTTCTGATCCTGTGATATGCTGGCAAATTTGCAGGACTGAGCCTTTTATCATCAAACATTTCACAGAGGGATACAACTAAATGCAATAAAGCAAAAATTGCATTCTCACTGTCTCAGAAAGATGTAGTTGTTTAGTCAATATACTTTGCAAATTGCACCAATAATTCCTTTGATTATGTAACCAAGAGTTTCCCTGTCTTAACGTAAAACCTTCCACAAAGAAACTTGGTAAATTTAAAACTTTGTGTTTGTAAAGGCTCTAAAACTGTTTTTAAAGTTGTGTTCAGACACTTGGCAAGGGATCAGATGTTTTTGTAACAGAATCCTCTTGGGCCATGTGGCTCTGAGGAGTAACAATCTTGACAAGTTGTGCTGTTGTCTCTATTGGTCATAACATTTCACATTCTTGCCAGGGAGGGGGAGAGCGCATGAGTGCATATATCTGAAGCATGCAAAACAGCATATGAGGCATCTCATTCTTTCAACCACCTGCTAGGACAATGCTAGAAACAAAAAAACAAAAAACAAAAACTTTTCACCCATGCAAACTTTCACCACAATCCTTAAAGTTTCTTATCACTCTTTTACAAATCTGATTTAAAAATATTTCAGGCCACTCTTTCAATGACTAGTCTCTTGTCTCTTACATAACCTCTGGGTACAGTCCTGACCTTTAAACATTCTACTCACCTAGGAGTGACTATTTTAAAAATATATTTCAATGTTATTCAATGGAATTCACCCTGCAGAACAGAAAAAAGACTTTAAGAGGCCAGTACTGTCAACATTTCTGATGGCAAGGATACTTTATTTTGGCTCAGCATCTTCATTTTTGGACAGATGGGAAAAGAAATAGTTAGCAAAAGTGTACATTAAAGTTAAGTCAAAACAAAGTTTTCAATAGCCCTGAGCAAAGTACTTCATATTATGGGCCAGTTCTGCTTTCTTGTGCACACTTGTAACTCCCATTGATTTCTGTGGGACTAGCAAGTGCATGTCCCTCTGCAGAAGTTGATCCTAGCTCTACATGCAACTGATAATGTGTCCCAAAATACTTGCACGCTCCTTTGAAAATCCCAGCTTCAGAAATTTAGGCACTCTACTACTTGGAACCCTATAAATTGACAAGCATGCTTGCTTTTTAAATTAAAACACTTGTGTTTTTGACAGTAAATGTGTAAAATTTAATCCAAATTTAAGTTTACTTGGGGATTAACTGAAAGCATAGATAATTTTATCACACAGAATACAATTTTAAACCCCCTTTTTCTTGAAGTTTTGTGCCAAAGCATTTGCTAACTGAAACTGTTCTGATAAAAAATGGTTTGATTCCTTTTTAAACAATGCTATTAAACACAACTCTTAAAATGTGTAATCTCACTGACCCGAACAGATGTGTTGACCTACCAAGTGATGCAATATGCACCACACTGCATGCAAAATAACTTGATAAAACAATTAGCCCTTGAAATGTTTATGTTTTGATTCTTTTTTATACAAGATTTAGTATTTAATAAAAAGTAAATCCGTTAAAAATCTCTTCATTTCACCCACTTTACACAATTCTAGCAAGTAATTAAAATACAAAGTATGTACTCTGGGAATACATAATTTTCTATTAACTGACCAATTTTGGTAGCACAGTGCATAGAGGTATACTGCCATTTGATTCAGATGTTAAATTAGCCCTTAGCTTGCTTGCCACTCCAACTACTGGAGGCAACTTGGAACCTATTCCTGGGAAAGAGCTTGTGTAGTTCGAAATCCGTTTACCCACGCTTTTATCAGTACTAGGTGGTTTGGGAATTCGTTTACAAATCCACGGGTGCCTTAAAGCTTGACTTGGAGTCATGCGTACAGAAGGATCCCATTTAAGACATTCTTTTAAGAATTCTATAAACAAGGGATCATCACAGCCTTTCAATGCTGTCACCCAGTCTTTATTGCCTGGAGCACCACGCATTTTACCCCTGCGCGATCTACTACCATTGAGGATCACTTTCCCATCTGTATGTGTGGTTGCAGTGCAGTAGCGAGGATGACCCTTGGAGTTGATGAAGTTCTTGGCTCGCTTGGATTGATCCAACAGCTTCTGAGGTGGCATTCCAAGAAGCTCCATCATACAAGCCAGTTGGTCTCCTTCATCCTCACCGGGAAAAAGAGGATATCCAGTCAATAGTTCCACCAGAATACAACCAAAACTCCACATGTCTATGGGCATCCCATAGCGACTTCCAAGAATGACCTCAGGGGCCCTATAAAATCGAGACTGAATATATGTGTAGACTCTTTGGTGCTCAAAGCAGCTGGACCCAAAATCAATAACTTTGATGCCACTCCGCCCTTGCTGTTTTAGAAGTATATTTTCTGGCTTCAGGTCACAGTGTATGATTTTGTTTTTATAAAGAGCCTCCAGACATAGTAATATAGAGTGGGCAAACTTGCGTACCAGCTGCACACTGAACCCCTGAAACTTATTTCTTTTGATCAGCTCATACAGGTTCATGCTCAGAAGCTCAAAGGTCATACATATGTGGTTCCGAAAGGTAAAACTTTCTAGCATGTGAATAACATTCATGCTGCCAGTTTTATCTTGTTTCTTGAGATGCTCCAGAATCCGAATTTCTTCTGCTGCTTGACGGTGGAACCTTTTTTCATTACGAACCATCTTTAAGGCCAAATGCTGGTGGAGTTTATGATCATAAACTTTAGCTACTTGTCCAAAACTGCCCTTTCCAATGATTTTAAGTACTTCATATCGGTAAGCAAGATGGTCATGAGGCACATGAATGTATCCACCTTGGTCATCATCATATCCTCCATTGTTGGGCCCACCGACGACTCCTTGCTTCTTTTTTGCATGTGGACCCACAAAGTAAATTTCAGAAAAGTTTAATATTTCTTGCTGTTCATAAGCAGACAACTGATGTTTATATTGCTTCACTGCTTGCTCTGGAGCCTGAGAGATAGGTTTGTGCACTTTTGATGAACTTCCACAAGATTTGGCCGTGCTCAAGCTGTCTGCGCTTTTATCTTTTGGCAAGGAAGGAAGAGATCTTTCAGAACTACTTATTCCTGCAGACTGAAGAGTACTGCTTCTCTTATTGCCAGAGTCCTCAAATAGTTGCTCAACTTTGACCTGACTTCCAGTCAGAGGATGATCTTTCATAGTGAGTGTGTTGCTAGTAACCTATAGGGATTAAAAAAGCCAATCTTAAATGCTTTAAAAAAAAAAACAATGGAATAACATGAAAATATCACAAACCAAAATCTGTACTAGGTTAATATTTATTTTGACAGTGTAGATTTATTTTAAATGTACTGCATAATTCACATCGTTATCAGTTCTGAGTTACATGCACTGCCATACACGTGACTGTACATTAAATACAATAAACTTTTAAAAACGGAGGATGTATAAATACACCCTATCTTCTAGTTCAGAAAAGGCAAACTTTAAGCAGACTTGCACCAAAGGGCACAAATACTTATCCCCACTAGCATGCATCCAGTCAGTAGAAGGGCAGGTGGTGGAGACCAATATTGCTATGTTTAGCCTTGGAGGTGGATGCTGCAAACATGACCCACTGACAGATTCAGCTTGCACCTGTTTGAGATACGCAGCCTAGTATGAATGTGTACAGAGGGGAGAAGACTGCACACTTGTCCATGTAATAGAGGGGAAACAAGGGATGTAGAGTATGACGTATAGGGTTGAGGAATCCATGATGGACGAGGTAAAAGTTGGGAAAGAAAGGGACAAGAGCAAGCAAGAGGAAGATGACAAAACAAGATACAATGGGCCGTGTTCTACTCTCAAACATACATCCACAACTCCCATGGACTTTAAAAGAAATCACGCAAATATTTCAGATAGCAAAACTGATACTAGCTTTCATCACATTTATTTTCTTTTGTTTCTCCCCTTCCAGTGTTCTAAGACACAACAGTTCCCCACTCATTGCTCTAAACTAATTTGGGCATAAATATTTTCATCTACCAGGAGATGTTAACTTGTTGCAGACAAAACCATAAAAATAGCAGAAAAACATTGTGAAATATATTTAAGGCTTGTCGTTTTCATACAGTTCAACTTAGCAAATGCTGAGCTCCCTGAAATTGTCACTTCCTTTAAAAGGCAATACACTCATTCACGAACATTCTTCCTTTCATTTCCCTAGCATTCTACACTTCAAGAAGGCACGAGATACTATTCTATGCAACACGGAGAACGTCAGGACTAGTGCAGCAACATCTGTTTTCCATTCTGGCCTTTAATCTCAATAAAGATGTGAGACGTGCCAAGCCCAGTCCCTGAAACTAAAATAGCAGCTTAGCAATCAAGCAAAAATATAAATAAACCTGTAGATCCAGAGCAATAAAATCTGATAACTTTTTAGTTATACACAATCCACCATCTCAACACAGTCAGTAAATAAGAGCAATGATAATGTTTGCCAAAAACAGCTACACAAATATTCTTCCTTTCTCATCCTGGTTGAATCAATTTGCTGGCTCTGCACTGAATTATTAGGGTGCACTTCATGACACGAGCCCAGAAAATGCAGACTTCCTCTAGGAGCCTGTCTCAGCTCAATAACGATTAGGCTTTTAGAATAGGCATTTCACACAGTGCTGTCTGTCCAGAAAGGTGAACAATACATTGTAAGAGACACACCTAACCAGGAACTCACTGAAAACATAGTATAAATACTTACTTCTTTCAGCCTATGGCTGAACTGCAGAGCTAAGGGTAATGTAAGATTTTGAATGCAAGGCAAATAGAATAAAGGACAAATAGATCAAAATAGTAAATTTACAAATGAACTGAAAACCCCAACATGAAACAAGGTTCAGTTTTTGTCGTAGAGTTTTGTTGGTGTTTTTTAAAGATGTCTATAAAACTGCTCTCCTGCTTCCACTGCAGAAATCTTGAGCGTGACCATGTTTTTTTTTTACTATAACTGCAGTCAGATTTTGATTAAGCACATAGCCCTACCCCTTGAAAACTCTACTTGTACTACAAGAAATGATATTCTTTGTACAAGAATTCTGTTATTTAAATGAACTCACTATGCAGAGCAGGAAGGAGTTTAAAGGGGTGGAGCTGTATGTACAAGAGTGATCATCACTAAATTTCATCTTCCACTGTACAATGCCTATTTATCTAGCTTCATGATGTTTCTGTGAAGTTCCTGTCTTCTTTAGTATAGAAATAATTTTGTGTCATTTGAAATTTTTGCCACTTCTCTCTTTTCTACATCATTACTCTTAAATAAATGGTCCTAGAGAAATGATTACATAAGAAAATTAGAACTTCAGGCGAGGAATAAGCAACAAAAACCGTTTCATGCAAGTTTCCATAATAGTAACAGAATAAAAGACATTGACGGAGAAACTTCTGATTATATCCTTTTACCAGAAGGCTTATAGAGCTTTCAATTAAGACTGCAGCAACAATTTAATGGTCCATTGTGGAATACTTATTCCTTCCCCTGCCTCTTCCTAAAATTCATACCTAAAAACAATTC